CAATAAAGACAATAATAAATAATGCATAAAACATATCAACAAGAGGATGGTATTTAGTACATCTAGTTGCTAGTGGCTAACAAATCTTAATGTATGAAAATCTCAACAATATGTTTCCCAGAACAACTGGATGTTTTACTGTAAATACCCAGGATGCTTGGTATAACATCTTCAGCCGACAGTTCACATTCTGACTTGTGTCCCTGATACTTCATTTCATTGTTGAGACTATAGTATTTCCTATGTAATAATAATTGCTTACATTTATATAGCACATTTCTGGATACTCCACTCAAAGCACTTTAGAGGTAATGGGGGCTCCCCTCCACCACCACCAATGTGCATCATCCACTTGGATGATGCGACGGCATCCATAGTGCACCAGTACACTCACCACACATTAGCAATGGGGAGGAGAACAGAGTAATGAAGCCAATTAATTGATGGGGATTATTAGGAGGCCATTATTAATAAAGGCTAATTGGACATTTGGCCAGAATGCCGGGAAGACACCCTTACTTTCTATGGTTAATGTTGTAAAAGGCTACAAGGAAATTCACTACTAAACTATGCCAAACATCCAAAAACCTCCATGTAGCTTCCATGTAGGACAATTCTTTGAGACCAGGAATAATTATATCTTAGTTAAACTTTTTCATAATCAAAAAGGTGAAGAATTTATGATAATCTTTATTTTATATGCCTTTCATGGTATATCATCTCAAGGCATGATGCAATAAAACAATATGAATAGATAGGTATATACTTTAATATACAAATTAAGCAGTAAGGTAAATAGGAAACAAAAAAGTATAAAAAAAACTGATATACACTTTTAACACTACAAAAGATAACGACTTTCACTATGTAGCTTCCATGTAGGACAATTCTTTGAGACCAGGAATAATTATATCTTAGTTAAACTTTTTCATAATCAAAAAGGTGAAGAATTTATGATAATCTTTATTTTATATGCCTTTCATGGTATATCATCTCAAGGCATGATGCAATAAAACAATATGAATAGATAGGTATATACTTTAATATACAAATTAAGCAGTAAGGTAAATAGGAAACAAAAAAGTATTAAAAAAACTGATATACAAGATCTGATGTGGATAGAAAATGTCCTCCTAGCATTCAGAGCCTCATATTAGGAACTAAAGGGAAGCCAGAGACCAAACAGTGCAAACAGTGTGTACTGTAGTATCCTTATAACAGTTCACTGATGTAGTCAGAAGCCAAACTGTTCAGTCACTTAAAAGTGAGCAGTAGTACTTTGAATTTGATTCTGAAATCCACAAGGAAGGGAGATCCACACATTGTTAAATTAAAGTACTAAAGTATGGCCAGCACATACCCTCAGTTCTCCTGCATGTCTTCACAGGTTCTGCCCTGTCATCCAGAGTAATGCTTCTAGATTTATCTCAGGGTCATTATGCATATTTATTTTCTTATTATGGAATCATCAATTCTGTAAATGTTATATTATCACAGATTGGAATCACTACCTGTTAATTGCCTTGGCTCACTGCTAAAACCTTCAGGAATATACACCATCAAAGGCCGTCTGGCATTCTCCACACTGTAAGACCCACAATGCCCACACCCAAGACAACATTTATAGCGATATTTAAGATGTGCTTGCTGACAACATTGCTAGACACCTCTTACAAACTCCTACAACTCTTACAAACTTTTACCTCAACATATGTGTGGTATCTTTGCAAACATTTTTCAACTTGCAGGAATTTCATAATAGTTTACTATGCTTTACTATACCTTCTCTAATGCCCCATGATAATCACAGTTAAAGTAAGCTTAAACCACACTAAAGTGTGTATATACTGTAGTATAATAACTCGAATATACTGTAGTAAACATTTATGAGGGAGAGTCCATCATTGCACAAGAATTGACACTTTGGTCTAATGAATCCCGCCATACCTTGTGACACTACACTGTGCGATTCTGTCTGGTGTGTTAAAGACAGAAAACAAACATTTAACTGAATGCACTTTTTTATGAGTTGATATATTTCCGGCTGGGTGTGTGATTGAATGTGATATTGCAGTGAAAGCAATTTGTCAAGCAATGGCTAATTGATATTGAACACTCTCCTCTAACATTAATTCATTAAGCTCATTTAAAAAATGACAGCACTACAAGCCTGGATGGATTTTGCTACAGGATTGATACTAATTCCAAGCAATAACTGGAAAAAAAAGGCTTCTGTTCTGCAAGTTGCTGTCATAGTTTTTCTGACCCAGTTTGCAGTACACTAGTGATCACTGTATGCTGAGCGTATCCATTATGTCATTTGATTTCTAAAAAGTATCAGGCTTGACTCTTGTTTCAAAATAACTGAAAGTGGATCACGTTTTGGTATTTGTTGAAAACAGAAGCAAAAAACACTGGAATTCTCTTGGGGTCTCAGATTTTTAATAAAAGTCAAGGATTAGTATTATATTTAATAAGAGTCATGGAATAGTTTGCCCCTAACAAAGAACTCATAGGGCAGTGTAATCTTCTGATATGAATTATTCTGCTCTGAAATGCAATATAATTCTCTTCAGCTCTAGTTTTTGTGCCAGTATGCCACAGCTATAAATTACATTGGCTGCACTGTGTTCTTATACATGTAATAAGATGAATGTAGGTTATGTTTTCATGTGGTTTATAACCACATCATCCTAAGGTTAACATGTTTAGTTTATCCTAAGGTTAAACTAAAATGTCAGTTTAAGACATTAGCAAAGAGCCTCAGTTCTGTGATATCACTAATGCAAAACTGAGAGTAGTAAAGGCTTTATGTGACCAAGGGGTATTAATCTCCATTGCTGTAAAATCAGTGTTAATATTTTCCTTGCAAATTCAGCATTTATCTATTGGTTCAACTGAACACATCTAACAATTATTTTCATGTCTTTTAATACATAGATTTACAGCTAAAGACCTTGGAAACACAGAAGTGCAGTGGTAGGGCCCTGGGTTCAATGCCTGGGGTCCTATCTGTGTGGAGTTTGTATGTTCTCCCTGTGTTTATGTGGATTTGCTCCAGTTTCCTCCCACAGTAAAAAGACGTAGTTGTACAGTAGGTTAATTGGCTTCTAGAAAATTGGCCTCAGTGTGAGTATGTCCATTTCTGTGTCTATGCATGCCTTGCTATGGACTGGAGTCCTGTTCAGGGTGTATCCTGTCTTGCGCCCATTGCTTGCTGGGACAGGCTTTGGCTCTCCTGCGATCCTGTACTGCATAAATCAGTTAGAAAATGGACGGATGGATCTAGGTTAATCTTAATTTAGGTTAAATGGTGATTCTAGATAGAGCCTGTATAATATTTTTGAGGCCTTGATATGCTTGTGGAAATCAGTTAAGCAAAAGAAGGTTTTGTTGGCACCAGTTTTGTGCTCTTAAAGAACAATCTGAATGTAAAATGTAACACAAGTTGTCAATATTGTACAAGAGAACTGTGAATCCCTATTGAAGTAGTTTCAATTTCTCTGCATGACTGCAATACACTGTTGGAATATATGGTTGTTAGAGCTGTTTTAATCTACAGAGAACAGCATTGGTCACCCAAAGCAATACTTTTACGATTTGTGAGAGCTTTCTATTAAACCATATTTGGGCTCCTAGCTGTCACTCTTTGCCTGAGGCTGACAAAATGAAGAGCAACTGTGAGTGTTAAGCAGGTAGGAGACTGCCCTTGTTTAATTGAGCCTGTGCAGTAATTGTTTTAAAAGATGCGCACGACATCAAGTAATTGCACCATTCCTGACTCAAAGTGATGCTTGTGATGACCTCAGGCACTATTATTGCTATTAGTAACTGATACAGAGGAAAATTAATTCATTATTAACGTTTAAGAAACAAAACTGAATTATTAACATAACCCATATACTACTGCAAAAAAATTTCCCCAATAACAGATACAGAAATTAAACCTTTAAAAGTTGAAAAGGCTTGAAAAGCCATTTCGTTTTTAAATGCTCTCACTGGTAGTACAGAAGAAATTATTTTTTATATTAATCTAGACACCATAGTGAAACATGCACCCCAAAAAATCCGGTAGGTGAACTGTGAAGCTTCTTTAGAGTTTTTTTGTCCTTTATTTAACTACTTGCTTTTGATGTTTTTGAAGACTATCAGATAGCATTGCGAAATGTACAAAGCTTATTGTATATTATTCTGATATACAGTTTAGGTGTAACTGAATTGGAAAAAAATAATATTATAAAGTATATACTTTACTGTAAGTAGGGGAATTTTTCAAAAGTACATTAAAACTCTGTTTGCTCAGGAATGTTTGCTCTTGGTAGGATTTCAATCCGTGGTGATGAAAGTGACAAAGATACATAAGTAATGATTGAAACACAACAGCTAAGTAGCGATTGAAAATGGACAAGCATCTCCTTTCATGCCACTTAAACCACACACCTGTATTTTTACAAAATAACTGAAAAGTAAAAACGCATGGTTCACTGCCACTAAATTACTCTCTAATAGAGAGTGCTCCAGTTTAGAATATTCCGGAATATCCCACTGTGCTCCTGTGCTGTCAGTATTGCTGGATTATGGGTGAGTCCAAACAGCTTGAATTTCTGTCACTTAAAAAAATTCTCTGTGTGGTTTTATTGGTATTGGCATTACGATCTGATAAATTAAATAAAAAAGAATCCTCATAAATAGTGACATGGTCCAATGTTTACACTAATTCTGTACTATTTGTAGAATTCAGCTTTTTGTAGATTTGTTTACAATTGGCTCTGTGTGGTGTACAAGAAAAATCTGATGGATGTTTGTGTCTGTTTTAGTTAGTGCTCGATGTGTGAGGTTTCTTATTTTAATATGGTTGCATACAGCTTTCTATTGTTATTTCAGCCCCTTAAGATGTAGAAAATATGTTGTTCCTTCTTAATATTAATTGTGGTAATTAATATACAGTACTCAATCCAAAGCTGCCTTCTCTGTTACAATATACGGTATGCATGACTCACACTCTGAAGCTGCAGGCCACACTGGGGCCTCAGGCTGGTTTTGGACATGAGGCCAGACATGTTGGCACTGTAGCTCTTCAGGCTGCGGCTCTCTTTCAGGTGGGCCTGTAGTTTTTCCCTCTGTCTCCTGCAGGGAACACACAGTAAGTTGGTTAGCTCTTTATCTCAAGGAGACTTAGGGGACTGCTTGAAGCAAGGCTCAAGAGACTAGACCGGACGTTCTCAAGATGCTTTTTTCTGATGGTGATATCCATTTTAAAAATTATACATACTCACAAAGGATCTTAACTTTAAACATGAAGTTAAGATCCCATATTTCAATGAAAATTGAAATATGTTCACAAGATAAGAATTAATGTCATGGAAATATTCACATTTTTTGAAAAATCTAAATAGAATATTAACCACAAGTGGTCTTATCTGAGGAGCTACACAGCTCAAGAATGCTGATTTTACACACTGCTGTACTCTACTAAAATTAGAGACACTTCTTTACACAGAGTCACTCATGTCTTGCACCAAATTCCAAGCCATGGTGATAAATACAGTTCTCTGGGAACAAACTCTCAAACTTCCTTGGTACATTGCTTAGAGCCTGTGGTCTAGAACCCCAGTCACCTCTCCAGTCCAGGTTTTGATTTAGAAAACATTTGATCATTTATTTTAAAATGTGCACTGCTTTACTTTGTTTTTAAAACTAGTGCACATTTTTCACCTTAAATGAGCAGGTTTAGTGTACTTTCTTCATAATCCAATGTGGAAATTATAATACATCCTGATCAAATATAGGATGATATACAGTACATCCGAAACACAACAGGTACAGGTTAATGATATCACTGATTACACTGTATATTGTAACAGCAATCAAAGTAGATTTTCGTTCTGTATGTGCTTGCTGTAACACTTTCTCTTAGTTTGGGGGCTGCAAATGACACCTAGAATACACAACAAAGTAATTTAACACTGACATTTCAACTAACAATGCATTTACATATGAGAACAATTGTTTTTTTATTTTAAAACCATGCAATCAAAGGTAGCAATCAGTTCCTTCCAGGTGATCGCTAATGTTCTGGCAATTACACCAGCAGCCATATTGCCCTACAACTCACAACTGGCTACCCACTGAAGCTAAGCAGGTAGGAACCTGGTCAGTACCCAGATGGGAGACCTCCTGGGAAAAACCAAGGTTTCTGCTGGAAGAGGTGTTAGTGGGGCCAGCAGGGGGCGCTCATAGACATGCAGTGCCCCAGAGACACTCTACTGTAAAAAGGAGCCGTCCTTCGGATGAGATGTAAAACTGACGTCCTGTCTCTCTGTGGTCCTTAAAAATCCCAGGGTGTTTCACAAAAAGAATAGGGGTATAACTCTGATGTCCTGGCCAAATTTCCCATTGGCCCTTACCAATTATGGCCTCATAATAATCTCCATCTATGAATGGCTTCATTACTCTGTTCTCCTCCCCACTGATAGCTAAGGATGAGCGTACTGGTGCACTATGGCTGCTGTTGCATCATCCAAGTGGATGCATCACATTGGTGGTGGTGGAGAGGAGCCCCCATTACCTGAAAAATGCATTAATGGAATAAGTAGTCCCTATATTAAATTGTTTAACTCAATTTTCCCATCTGTATTTTCCAGCAGCCTAATACTTATTGTGTCTGCGTGGTGATGATTCATCTCCTCCCACCAGCCAGGGGGAGCTCTCACTCACTTGTTGCGACAATAGAAGGCCACACAGAGCGTGCCAAGAAGGCTGATCCCAATTGCGATGCAGGAGATTGACAGCACTTGTCTTTTGTAAACTTCTTCACTCTCTGTTAACCAAGAAGAGAAAATAAAGATCAAGGTAGGAGGGGAAAGAGGGATGGAGAAAATTAGTCAACAAATGTATGTGCTTAAAAATCATACTATAGTTCTTTTTTTGCAAAGCACAGTCTCACTTCCAGATAATAAATCAATTTTTTAAAATATATTGTAAACTGTATGAGTGTAGACATACTAACAAGGGAAGATGCTGTTACCAATTCATTAATTATCTATGATTAGTTTCATGTCTGTCACCTGAGGATCCTAAAACCTATTAATCATTTTGTTGTTTTTGTACTTCTACTAATTCATAAGACATACTATTTTAAGAGTGTGTAGTGCAAATAATACAAATAATAAAATTAAAGTCATTCCCATTGGTATCGAGACAACAAAAGGCCTTATTTTCTCTATCCTTTTGAGTGTTGACAAGATGTAGAAATTCCAATGGCAGACCTGGCAGCATACGGAGAACACATTGACATTTCTTTGAAAAAAAGAGGAGGATTTCCACATGAAAACGTATTAAATTGTAACCATATCATTTTGAGATGAAGTACACCAAGCCATAGATAGTGTGGTACTGTATACATGACTAATATAAAGGGTTCAGTACCAGGAGGTTTCAAATTCTGGACCTGGTTCTGCTTCTAATTCACCACATCTCACACTGAGCTGAAGAACTTGCATTTAATTTTTAAATTAATTTTAAATGTAATTACCAGTGACACTGTAGCAACAATTTGATTGGGTATTTTGTAGCTTACAATCTCGTTTCTGGAAAACTGTCTTGGTAATGGTAGAGTAAAAGTGTTTTGTTAAATGATTAATTATTATAAATCATTATATTTTTACTAGTTATAATAGTAACAGTTGAAAGAAAGAAAAAGAAGAAAAACAAAAACTATTAACTAATTATATGCCATAATTTCATGTATTAATAACCAATTAATGTTTACTGTAACACATTTTGGATGGAAAAGTCTGGATTTGTGGTAGCCTGTCCACATTGTAAAAGGCAATTATCAAGGGATTGAAAACAAACTTCTGCTATAAATACCATCTGGATGGCATGAATTAATGACAAAGATTCTACTTCCTCAGCAGTTGCCCATTGGATATCAGTTTGATCCTTTTCAGGATCTACTCAAGTTCTGCAACTCTTATGTGACCTGAAATGTTCCTTTTAATGGAAGGTCTTACTTCCATGCATGCTGTGATTAAAAAACAGATTTTTCAGGAAAGCCTACAGCAAAGTTGACTGTTATTGTGAATAGATTGTGTTCCTTTTCAAATAGCAAGGTATTCAACAGCACTTTAAGAGCCTATCCAGCAGTACTCAGAAGTGAAGCTGAATGGCACACTTGAGCTATTGCATTGTCCCCAGTTCAAGTGAACATGAGAAAGCAAATATAGTAAATAAATCAATAAAATATTTTCAAAAGTATTTTTGTGCTTATGGTATAGGCTTCTTATTGTCACTGGTCTCACAGTGCCCACATTAGTTTTCCATTTCCCATATAATTCCCCCACTCTGAGCTCTGTTTTTGCTTTGCTGCTTTTTGCCAAACACTATGTCACTGTCAGATCTGTTAAGCAGTCTCATGGCTATTGAACTGCCAACCTTTAATATAAAACTGGAATTGACATGAGCTGCTGCAGTGGAGAGGATAGGGCAGTTTGGGAGGGAAAGGCATAACGTTGGTCTACTGCATGTGTTCTGTAGTCAGTGGCTGTTGCCTGGAAATGCTTACCCTAAAAACCATCGTGTTTGGTTGGATTTAGTGGCTAAGCCAAACCCAGGCTGTCTTAGGCCTAGTCTTTTCCTTACCTCAGTGCAGGTTTACTGCTAATGTATTTACTAATCTAAATTAAATCAATATCAAATTAAAAATACTTCAGAATTAATCACTTCCATGTGTTTCCTTGGGGTGTTTTGGAATCATTTTAATCAGTGGAGCAAGCCAATGTTCATGTTTGCTATAATTAGACAATTCTGGAGCCTAGAGGGACAGAGCTCTGAAAAGACCAGGCCAGGGGTGGGGAATGTTAAACCTCCAGATCTGCTGTAAGTAAAGACTTCACCCTTGTATCTAATCTCTCTAGGGTATCCCCTGTGTTTGGCAGTTAATAATAATTTCTTTACCAAGCTTTCCAGGACCTACTGTGTAACTTGGGAAATTATTATCTATTTTCAATAATTAAAGCACATCTCTCCATAACAGGGCTTATATGCCCCCTGTAAGACCCCTCCTAAAAAACAAAGATTCCCTTTGATTCTCAACATGTAGACATCTAATAATAAGGATTAAGACACAATGGGGGAGATTTACTAAGGGCTTGACAAAAACAATAAAGAAAACAATAAGGACATTAAAAAAGAACAACAAGGAAATAAAATACTGTATATCCTGTACTGTCCTTTATGATTGCAGGTTGGAATTCTCAAACCAAGCTACTATTTCCTGTATGTAGGGTATTCCCTCCAGTCTTTGCAATATGAGATATATCTTTATGTACGATATAGGATTCAGACCTTTACCTTTCAAAAATTAATATTTGATCATGTTATTTCAAGATGTAATTTATATAGAAACATTCTTTTACACAGAAACTACAGTGTATTTTGAAAATAATGTCTGAAAATGTCAGAAAGAGGGATGTGCACTTTTTTCTTGCACTGTGTCTAATCTTATAGCTTTCCCTACTTCACTGTTTGGCTGCTGGAGCTACCCACACCTGTCATTCCATGAGTCTTTTTCCCCAGTTTAACTGACCACTTTCTTTTGTGCGGCTATCTGTCTGACTACCTGTACATTTCTATTGGCCTTTTATTCCTTCCCCTATCATCACCTTTTCAGTTGATCTTTTTATTTTGTGTAAAGCCTAGAAAAATGCTTTGGATTTGCCCAATTTCAAAACATTTGCCTTTGATATTATAAGGTAGCCATCCTATCTGTCATCATTTTTGGAATCCACATAGAAAAAACATATAAAAGGTATCCCGACCAAGAAACATCATATGTTATGTTGCTTACATTTAAAAATGCTGTACATTTGCATGGTCACGTGTGTTAGAAATACTACAGTATGTAACAGTTTATACAATACAGTATTTGGATCTTTATTTGGAATCTATGTCTGCTGATATATATCTTCCACAGCAGATGTACTACTTTGATGACTGATCTTCTCAAATCTAATCAGCTGACCAATAATGGACCTGGTTTGCAAAAAGATGAGAGAAAATCAGAAGAAAATTAATGTTCACTGGTTTAAGTGGTGGAAAAGTAGGTGGCTCCTTCTGAACTAGAGGTGCTGTCTAACAGATGAAACATAACTCCATCAACATCAAAAAATTCCCATAGCACTTATTTGCAATAAAACTTGGTAAATAATGGTGTTTTGGCCAGATTAGAAAGGCAAACTATATTCTTGCTTTCTCACTCCTCTGCCTCCATTACAGTTTGAAATTTTGAAGAACAGATCATAATTTCAAAGTGGCTTCACAAACAAATAACTGCACAGTATGGGATTAACTGTTTTTGAATTGTGTTTGGTTCTGTTAAGAGTATACAAAAAAGGTGCCACTGCTTCAGCTGTATTGCAATCAATCTAAACAGCAGGACAGTTCAGCAGGCTCTGAGTTATGCTGTGTATCTTTCAGACAAGGAATATAGTGTATGGCTTCACAAACAGCTGAAATATGTTAATAACCCAAAAAGAAGCAGGCAGTCTGTACTGTGGAGCCATGGAATACACTTCCGTATTTTTTTTTCTGCAGTATTTTGCTGAAGGAGAACATAAGTATTTTCATCATTTCAAATGTAAAAACTTAAAGCATTCAGCTGTACTTTTGTACAGTGATCTAAATGCATTGAATAAAGTATTTTGATGTCTTCTCAGTGGGTTGTTTGCAACATATGCACACTAGGATCAATCTGATGATCTATAGCAGCAGTACTACTGTTGAGAGAGTTTTAAAATAATTGCCTGTATTTCATATGTTTTGTAATTTTAAATGTTTTCTTCACCTCAGTTTTGGAAAAGCTGTATTGTGCTTTTGACCAGGTCATCTGGGGATTCTGTGAGCCAAACTTAAAAACAAAACACTTTATCACTTGCAAGGTATTTACTTGATCTTCATCTTTTCAGTGAAGGCTGTTGTCTCCCTTCTTACTCTACACAACCCCTGTGACACGGATGGAGTAGAGTTCTTACAGAAAAGCAATTCATTTCCTGGTATTTTGAGATACAGGCCACAGTATGAACTGAATGGTATTTTGACTCCACAAGCCTCTCAGTTCAATTTACTGAAATTGCAGTGTGCAGTTGCCTTACTGTAAAAACAAGAGTCTTTAGCATTTAAAAAATCTGTATATAAAACTGAAATGGATAAAAATCTCTTACAACAGAGGTTTAATTTTCCTCCTTTCATCACACCCTATGGTGATGCCTCTTTGTTTCGCCTGATCCAGTTGAACTTCATGACTTGTTTGACGCCAGCATTTCAGTGAAATAAAACAATACAAGGGAGTACAATCATGGTATAGTGCTCCTGACCTACTGTAGGTAAGTCACAGCCACATCAAAGATGCTTTTCATCTCTTCTCCCCAAACCTGTTATTAGTGCTGCTTGCCAATAGAATTTGCCTTTCAAACAAAAGGTGGCTGGCCACATAAACACAACTACTGTATAAACTGTCTGCCATATAGTTTTCCACAACTTGCATGTGCCAACATGTGCCAAATTCATGCTTGTGACAGTAGGAAGCAGTGATTGACTGAATCATACAGTATATAATTTTGGTTGTTTGTCAACAAGGAATTAGCTAACAAGGGTCAAGATGACCCAGTCCTTTTTCAGGCATCTCTGCTGTGTGCAGAACAGTGAGGAGGACTAAGTCTTCCTGTCAGGTGTGACTTGTTACAGTATTTACACTGTAAACCTCTGGCAGTGGATTGTGTGCTGTGGCAAGATGTTAAAAAAGATCAATTCCATACTGTT